AGTTTTTGAAGAAAATGTCATCAAAATTTAGAGGACATGCTTACAAAAATGTTCAATAACAATGCAGGACAGACAGACTGGTTCATAAAGCAATTCTTTTTGGCTGTTTAGTCACTCATGTGTGTCTGACTCTTTGCGACCCCATGGACCACAGCATGCCTGGCTTTCCTGTCACTCACCATCTCTTGGAGCTTGCTCAGATTCATGTCCATTGAGTCAGTGATGCCATCCAACCACACCATAAGGACTTAAATGCTTGTAAAATTCAATTAATGAAAGGTGGCAAAGACAGTTTATAATGACAAGTGGAAGTATTTCTTTGTATTCAACATTAGTATTGTCTCAAAAACTTTGTAATTCAGATATATTAACTGTGTATCTATAAAATTATTTGCAATTTTGATAACTTCAGTTTTTCTGTTTGATAAAATATCAAGACTCTTTGGATGGAACTATGAAATATCTGTAAACTACAAGCAATTCCATGTATATCTTGGTTATATAGGGTACATAATTCAGTAAGAATCCTGTTTTATATAATGGATCATAATGCCATGATCCACCAAATCTGTGTTCATATTATCTTTGTAGAAATAATTTTATCTTTAATGTTCTGCAGTTCCATGTATCAAATTACTGTCTGAAACTATAATCTCCTTAAAATAACTAACTACTAAATCTGAAAGTAAATCCTATGCTTTTTCAGTAGATTTGTGTCTTCAGATTGTTATGTGGTCAATCATAAAGCCATGAGAGGTGATAAATGCTGGCACACACCATGTACACAAGTTACAGATTCATATCAACTTTAATGAAAAACAAAATATCAGAACTTAATTTACCATTAAGCATTAGTTTTTCTTTATTTGAGCTCCATGCTGCCAAAAAGTTCACAAGTTTTACCCAAAAATATAACAAAAGAAAGTAATTGTTGACAGAAGCACTATAGCAACAACATTTCAACTCCCCTTTGTACGTTCTCTGACAGGTCTGACGAGCCTCTATTCCTTGTAGATATTTCACTGACACCTGATCTAAAATCTTCCACATTTCTTATTGGTCCCAACTCCAGGCATGGTGGCTGTACAAATCTCTCCAACCTTAGCATCAACGGGCAACCAGCTGTTAAAACAGCAGCCAGCAGGGATTGTTGTTGTATTAGTCACTAAGTTGTGTCCAACTCCTTTGCGACCCATGGACTGTAGCCCACCAGGGTGCTCAGTTCCCAGGTGCTCTGGGAAATCTGTTCTGGATTTCCCAGGTAAGAATACTGAAGTGGGTCATCATTTCCTTCTCCAAGGGAACTTCCTGAGCTGGGGATCAAACCCATGTCTCCTGCACTGGTAAACAGATTCTTTGCCACTGAGCCACCTTGCCCGCCAGCAAGTATAGCAGCATTAAATACTTCACCTACTCCAACAAGTTAGGCGTTGTGAGCCAATCATATCCCAGCACACTTTATTTAACAGCACATGCCGATAAAATAAATAAACAACAAAGTCCTACTGTACAGCACAGGGAATTATATTCAATATTCTTGTAATAAACCACAAAGAATATGAAAAATAGTATGTGTATATATATGTGTAACTGAATCACTTTGCTGCATACCAGAAATGAATACAACATTGTAAAGCATCTATATTTCATTTAAAAACAAAAATAAAGGACTTCCCTGGTGGTCTAAGTGGTTAAGTATCCACCTGCCAATGCAGGGGACATGGGTTCGATCCCTGCTCCTAGAAGATTCCATATGCCATGGGGCAACTAAGCCTGTGTGCCGCCACTACTGAGACTGCACTCTAGAGCCTGTGAGCTACAACTACTGAAGCCTTCATGCCTAGAGCCCACGCTCCACAACAAGAGAAGCCACCGCAATGAGAAACCTATGCACCACAACTAGAGAACAGCTTCTGCTTTCTACAACTAGAGATTGAAAACTCAGTGCAATCAAAAATTAAATAAATAAATTTTAAAAACTTTACAAAAAGAACAAAAATAAAACCCCCCACACCCCAGAACTCCTCCAAGGCAAAAGCAGAACTGGACTTGTTACTAGGACTACAAGCATAAACCATGACTGTCCCAAGCAACTGAGATGAAGTTCACTGCATGGCGGTGGTGTAGTTGCTAAGTCATGTCTGACTCTTGTGACCCCATGGACTGTAGCCCACCAGGAACCTCTGTCCATGGGATTTTTCAGGCAAGAATACTTAAGTGGGTTGCCATTTCTTTCTCCAGAGGGTCTTTCTGATCCAAGGATCAAACCCTGGTCTCCTGAATTGCAAGTGGATTCTTTACCAACTGAGATACCAGGGAAGCCCTGTTCACTGTATATTTAAGTATTATCCCATTTAACAGATGAATAAAGAGATGTAGAGAGACAGAGGCTAATTTCCTGCAAAGAGAATTTACCATAAAGCTTAAGTTTCAGGGCACTTCACTTGAATATGCATGTCCCTTCCAAGTCCTATATATAATTTTGTAATCACAATTTTGAATTTTTTTACATAAAGTGGGCTCCTTACAACCTAGATCTGTCCTTGTACAGAGGTTTAATAATCAGCCCAAATTCACATAGCCTGCAATACCCAAAAGGAGTTAACACTAGTACTGATTTCATTTAGAGACTATACAGTCATATCAGAAAATGAAAAAATAGTATTAGTTGTTTTCAGTTCTGCAAGCAGAATTCTAACTGATATATCTTGGGAGTCTTGCTGTATTCCAACCTACACACTACTAACACCACAAATTGTCATAAAATGCCACTTTCATTATATTACTTCTGAATTTGAATGAGTCCTCAATAGCTAACAGATCAAATTTCAACTTTTCAGTCTGTCTTTCACTTCACTATCAAGCAGACACCACACGCATTTTTAAATATTTAAATGTATAATGTTATTTCAAATTACTTATGTAGTATTTATTTTCTTGTTGTCTTTTTCCATATGAAGTTTCACTTTTGTTTCTACTTTGCCAAATCCTATCTAAAACTATCCTATGTTCTACTATTATTCACAGTATCTATTTTTTAATTTACTTATTTTTGCCTCTGATCTTAAACATTTGCAAGCTTAATTGCATGTAATATTCCCCCTCTCCCAATAAACTATTAACTATAGAGTCAAATCTATCATTGACTAAATTTCCATTATTTTGTACTCCACCTGGCAAAACACCTGATGCATAGTATTAAGCAAACATTTTGCACAGATGAAAGTTCTGAATAGTTCTCAAAATGTTCAACTGCAGAACAATCCTAACATCAGTGGAGAATAAATAAGTACTCCAGGATGGTCTAGTAAAATAATTTAAATGTCTATTCTATAGCAGCACCAATCAGCTGTTAGTGATTACTAAGCCTTGTCTGGGACTCTGAGGCCCTTTAGGGTCTCAAGATCAGACACCATGATCAACTAATCTTGTCGACAGTATTAATAGAAAGTGGAAATACTCATTGTTTCATTACCAATCTGGGTTTGACTCTAAGGAGCCCATTCACCCCTTCCACCCTCACCATGCACAAGAAATTTATTTTAAATTTGCATATTTTATCTTAAAATTTCACAAGAGTTTTGCAATTTGCTCTATAATGTATCCAAGATAGTTTACATTTTAAAATATTATTTTCCTCTTATCTCTGAATAAAACAGATGCTCCAAGGAGATGTGTCTGTCATGTTTTTTTCTGTGGTTTCTTAAGCGCCCTGGTAACTAACAATTCTAAGTACAGTAATATCTCATTTTAAGAAACACAGTCTTTGACTACAAATTTCTTGTGGTATGCTCTAGTCAAATCCTCCCAATAGCAGCTCCCCAAATACTACTCCCCGAATAATCAGAAATTTGAGATATATGACAGAGTAAAAATAGCACCAACATTTTCAGGCTTAAAATGTAACACATTTTTAAATGCTTCAGCATTTGTGAAATGACTTATTTAATAGTCACATTTTAAAGATATTATAATCAAGTTGTATGAAATTATAACCATACATCAAGTAAATCTTGCAAAGCCTGTGTGAGAATTTTCACTTTTCTTAAACTGTAAGTTTGATGTTACAACTTACTTTTGAGCCAGAAGTAATGAAGATAAATTTCCACAATAAAATGCTAACATATTCTTCAACAGGATAAATGCATCTACTAAAATTATTGGGCACAGTTACAATATTTGGTGAATGCAAAAGATGTCTTTCCTCTTACAAAATTCATTAGAATTTAAATGTGTTATATTACATCCATATACTACTCTCCTGGGTCTACTTGTAAAAAAAAAAATGTATTTAATGGCTCAGTTTCAATCAGAACAATTTTTTTCCATCAAGGAATCTGATCAAATTAAATTCTAGGCCTACATAATTTCCATCCTGAGGACTTCAAGGTCAACAGCAATGAATAGGTTATATAAAACTAAATTTCCAAACTATTATGCTTTACTCCTAAATACAAAATACATTGTAAATTCTCTGTAAATGACTAAAGTTAAAAATTGTTTATTCTACCTTCCTTGGAAACAAACTATACTGGATTTTTACGGTTGATGCTGACTCTGCCTCCCATTAAAGGATTTAAGGGCAGCAACTTCCTCCATAACACTTTTCAAGTTCTTGCAAAGATTACATACTGACCCCAAGAAACTCCTCCCAAGAAAGAAGGGCAGGACAGAAAGAAGGCAGAAAAGGGATTAGGTGCCGAGAGGCCTCATTACAGCAGGACGCAGGACAGAGAGCAGGTACAGACATCATGGGAGGTGGCTCCACGTGTGAAGCCGTGGGAAACACAGCGGGAAGAAACTGGATTCCTTCCGGTTTAGGAATAGAGACTTCGCGCTACGCCGTCCCATGTTGGATAACGATTAAAACCTCACTCCTGGGAAATTCTTTCCAGTTAAGTCTGTGCACTGCCCTCCAGGGCCTAGGAAAGAGGCGCCATTATGGGAATGAATATCCAGGGACTCAAGAGCTACAATCTCAAGCGCCAGCAACAACTTACCGGGAACCTCCGACCCAATTCATCTCCGTAAAACTTCGGAGCAAGGAGACACTGGGGTCCTGACTGCCGGTGCTCCGGCGTCTTCGTTTTGTGCTGAGCGACAAGTTCCTGGGCCTCAGATGCTCCTTCCCGCCTCCGGGCAGTATGGCTCAGCCTCCCGACAGCCTTTGCGGCCTGGGGTAGGCGGCTTCCAGGCTCCGGGCAGCCTCTGTTGTTTCTGCAGGGAACCTATCCTGACAGAGCCGGAAGCGAAGCTGTGGGAAGAAGATTAACCCACGTCAAGGAGGAAGAACACAACAGTTTTAACCGCTCAAACAAGGGAAACCTAAGTAAATGAAATACCGGACTGTGGCCACAGGGTTAGTGTTTCAAACCACCTACACTGTAATTTTATTTAGTTCTCTATTGGTCTCAGCCTTTCTTCAGGTCAAAGACCAGTCTTGCTGAAGAAAAAGAAAGCGAGGACAAAGTTATAGATCCATAATCCTAAAAATAGTTCCATTCCCACTTACCGATTCTCCTAATCCTTTAAAGTCTTTCATTTTTAGTTTTAATATTCAGTAAACAGTTGTCTGTTAGAAACATTGCATTATAGTCATTGACACTCTGTATATTTTGTGATTTTTTGAGAATACCACATCAAAACTTGATTTAGCTATAAAAGCCCAAAGACTTTAAACTCTTTCCTGGAAAAAACTCAAAACAAAATTGAGTTTTACTGTTCATTTCAGTGTTATATTTGAATATCCTTACAAAAATGTATCTTACAAACTGTTCTATTATATTTTGATTAGAAACTAGAAATCTCTTGTTCCAAGCAAATGCACAAACTACTTTCTTTCCCTCAAATGTCGTGGTCGTTTTTCACCTATTAACATGGAGAATATCTCATAATTTGAAATATAATACATTTTCTGTTAAGTCATTAGGAAATAGTACCTAAAATAGGATTATATCCCAGGGCAGGCATCTTGTATAATCATGGGCTAAGTTGCTACAGTTATGTCCGACTCTGTGCTACCCCATGGACTGTAGCTTGCCATGTCACCTGTTCGTGGGATTCTCCAGGCAAGAACACTGGAGTGGATTGCCATTCCCTTCTCCATATATAATCATGTAGGCACTGATTTTTAAAACAAAGATTCAGTGAAGTACGTCTATCATTGGTTTGAATTAGACTAGATATTTGTAACAACTGAAATGTTGACCTAAGATTTCATTGTCAATGTTATTATGGCTCACATGAAAAAGGCTAGTACAACTGATAGGTAATGAGTAAAATATTGAGTTATTTTGGGCCAGAGGGTAATTAAGTAACCTCCTGGGTCAGCAAACAGTTCAAGAAAGAAATACAGCACTACTAAAATATTATTTAGCATTTGTTGAAAAAATCCATCCAAAATTCTTAAGTCTTAATTTATCATATTACTAAAAATTAATTACTTTCTGGAGACTTACTGTCTAAAAACACAAACATACATTATCTGCGTGATATATTTTTATTTAACTAGTATATGTATATCAGTTTATTATAAAAATTATTTCTGAAATTTTACAGTTTATAAATCATATACTTTTTCTAATATATGTATATATTCTGTATCATTTATAAAGTGTATTTAATTCTGCTCTTCAATGAACATTGGTAGTGTCCACTTTGACATGGACATTGAGAGTATCACACTTAAGAACAATTTAATAATTATTGCTTATTTTTAATTTTACTTACTTTCAATATCTTTTTCTAAGATTATTTCTCCCCTCTTAAGAAAATTTTACTTTCCACATAAAAACATGTAAACTCGACAAGCTATGTTTACTATAGTAAGCAGTGATTTTTTTTTCACCTCCCTTTTCTCTAGTTTCAAACACAAACTAAATTAACATTATTGTTGCTTTAATTGCATTATGAAAGAAAGACTTTGACATTCTTAGTTTCTTATTTAAATGGCATATGTTTCCAACTGGAATTACCTATCTGGTTTTCTACCATCTCTGGCTTTCCTGAAGGCCTGAGTCTAATCTCAGGTGCTCAAATCAATCCTAGCCTTTGGGAGCAGAGTTGGGTTATAGGGGGGTTGTGGAATTTCAGTGATGATAGTTAGGTCTGTACTCTAGTGGTTTTACAACAGGTTAAATCTTATATTGACCTTTTCCCAGTTCTAGTAACTGAACTTCAACTTTCCTTGTACCACATTTCTGGCAACCAAATTTCTATCTTGATTATTTTCTTTATACCCATTTCCTCATTCTAATAAGTCTCTCACTCTAGGCTTTAAAAGCTTTTCCTGTACCTGAGTTTCACTTTCAGTTGGTAAACTGACCTGCCTACGTATTTAGGTCTCTAAGTTTCTTAGCTTGTAGATTTCCCACTGCCCTGCTTCTTCCCTGATCTTGCCCTACGCCAGTGATGCAAGCCACTTCCCTTGACTGCCAACTGCTTTCTGATCCATGCATCCCTCTGTATATCATGTTTTGCCAACTGAACATCCTCCTATCACCCCAAGTTCAGTTTATCCTGACCCTCCACATGTCCTGTCACAGGCAGGAGGTGTGACATAAATAATTCAATTTTATAAATGTAAGGCAGCCTCATTTTAACACTGGAAAAGCATGGGATTAGGAACAAAAATTTTTTTGAAAATAAAAATGGCACTATGATCTCTATGTACAGACAGAAAGTCTTAATGGAATGATAGATTATGCTGCTAATATCACCAACTATCAGAGTCTTGCATGAATTTGCCATTTATGTATTAGTAAATCTGCTGAATTGAATGCAAACAAATGAAAAGACCTATGATGATTCTTCGAAATCATATAAGTATTTGGAAAAGGAGGAATGTTGAAAGATAAAAATATGGTTACTTATAAAAGTGACGATAGTTCTTTAGTCACAGTCAACTGAAAAGTGAAGATCATTTGACAATGAGAAAGGTTTAATATTCTAGCACAGGGACTGACAAACTTCCTTAGAGGACCAGGTAATGATTATTTTGAGCTCGATTTCATCTACCTAATTCTGTCTTTGAGCTCTATTTCATCTACCTAATTGTCTGTCTCTATTGTCACAGAAAATATGTAAATATATGGGTGTGGCTATGTTCCAATAAATCTTTATTTATGGACACAAAAGTTTCATATAATTTTCACGTCACAAAATATTATTCTTCTTTTGATGTATTTTCAGCCAGAGTTTACATTAAAAACTATTCCCAGGTGGCGCTAGTGGTAAAGAACCTGTCTGCCAGTGCAGGAGATGTGGGTTCAATCCCTGGGTTGGGAATATCCCCTGGAGGAGAGCACGGCAACCCACTCCAGTATGCTTGCTTGGAGACTCCCAAGGACAGAGGAGCCTGGCTGGCTGCAGTCCATAGGGTCACACAGAGCTGGACACAACTGAAGCTACTAAACACCCATTCTTAGCTCATAGGCTACATAAAAATTGATGGGACAAATGTGGCCCACTGGTTGGATTGTAATTTGCCAATCTCTATTCTCATTAAATGGACATCTACCCAGGATTCTGGAGCGTGCTGAAAAACAGATCCGAATATTTGACACTTTGTTTTATCCCAGTGCCCCTCCCATATGCTACTTTCTTCTCCCTTTCAGATTCATTCCATACCCTTGATCTGTTGATCCTCTCCTCCGTCATCTTCCCGGTTCCTTCTCCGTCACTGGAAATCTCCCTTTTTAGCTCTTGGAAATCTCCCTTTCTTTTTTGCTCTTCCTCTGTGGTATCTACTAAAACCTTAGAGAAGTGATGTATTTTCTGAAACTTCTGTGGGTTTCTAAGTGACGCTGAGCATGCTCAGTCGCCTAGGCAGATTTTGTCGCCAGCAGCTGCCCTGATTCGACCTCTCTAAAAATAGACATTTAACTCTCTGAACTGTTTAAGGATGTAATTCGTTTTGCTCTCTCTTTATTTTCAAGGTTCAAAGGAAAGCAGCGAGGATTCCAAGGGTCCCTTCGTCCTTACAGCCAATGAGGGACCCGAGAGGGAGGAGCTTGGGGCTGCTCGGTGCAGCTTGAGCTTCTGAGGGAATCATCCCCAGTAGATGCGGTGGAGCCTGGGCTCTGAAGCATCTGTCACAGAACAAAATTTTTAAAAATAAAAACAAAAACAGAAGAGGAGAAACGCTGCGAACTATGGAACGCTGTAAAACTTTCTGAAACATTTGCTGGGGATTCCTGTGGAGCATGTTATTTTAAAACCAATTCTTTTTGAAGCCGGTTTGGGTAACTGGGAAAATGATACATATGCTAAATGCAGCAGCTGACCGAGTGAAATGGACCAGATCAAGGGCTGCTAAAAGGGCTGCCTGTGTGGTAGCTGCAGCATATGCTCTGAAAACCCTCTATCCCATCATTGGCAAGCGTTTAAAGCAATCTGGCCACAGGAAGAAAAAAGGCGCTTACCCGGCTGCGGAGAACAGAGAAATACTGCATTGCACCGAGGCCACTTGTAAAAATCCTTCACCTGGAGTGAATGCAGATTTTTTCAAACAGCTACTAGAACTTCGGAAAATTCTCTTTCCAAAACTTGTGACCACTGAAACAGGATGGCTCTGCCTCCACTCGGTAGCACTAATTTCAAGAACCTTTCTGTCTATTTATGTAGCAGGTTTGGATGGAAAAATTGTGAAAAGCATTGTGGAAAAGAAGCCTCGGACTTTCATCATCAAGTTAATCAAGTGGCTTATGATTGCCATCCCTGCCACCTTTGTCAACAGTGCAATAAGGTACTTGGAGGGCAAATTGGCCTTGGCCTTCAGAACTCGCCTAGTAGACCATGCCTATGAGACCTATTTTGCAAATCAGACTTATTATAAGGTGATCAATATGGATGGAAGGCTGGCAAACCCTGACCAGTCTCTTACTGAGGATATTATGATGTTCGCGCAGTCGGTGGCTCACTTGTACTCCAATCTGACCAAACCTATTTTAGATGTAATCCTGACCTCCTATACACTTATCCAGACTGCTACATCCAGAGGAGCAAGCCCAATTGGGCCCACTGTTTTAGCAGGGCTTGTGGTATATGCCACTGCTAAAGTGTTAAAAGCCTGCTCTCCCAAATTTGGTAAATTGGTAGCTGAAGAAGCTCATAGAAAAGGCTATTTGCGGTACGTGCACTCCAGAATCATAGCCAATGTTGAAGAAATTGCCTTTTACA